TATTATTTAACAAGAGGTTAAAAAATAAAACATCAAATAAAAATTACAATTTCAGCTCTTTATTACTTGTAATATTTACAAAACAAAACAAAAATACAAATATTTTATAAATAATATCTATAAAAAAGTATAATAAATGTGTTATTTTGTTTGAGTTGTGACATTTGAGTCACATTGAGTTAGTTAACCACATCGTCGTCAGTGATGGCGGGCGCGGCTGCGGCCTGCGGTGCCGGCTTTAAGGCGGTTTCCGGTGCAGCCTCAGTAGCTTTGGCGGCAGTGGGAACGGGTTCCGTCCGTTTGGGTGGTTCGGTGGCTGCGGTTTGCGGTGCCGGCCTCGAGGCGGCTTCCGGTGCGGGTTCGGGAGCTTTGACGGCAGTCGGAACGGGTTCCGTCCGTTTGGGTGGTTCGGTGGCAGCGACTGAAGCGGTGTCACCACTCTTAATGGTAGTGGTAGTGCGCGGAGCGCGCGTTCCCTTCCCATCAGATTTGGACATCGCGTTAGCCGTCGAGTTTTTGAAGGCTCGGGCGGCGGCGTTAGACAGACCCTTATGGAGCGCTTTAGCGGCCGCTTTGGCGGCCGAGTAGACCCCGGATTCGGCGCTGGCGTTGGACTGCGAGATCTCGTCCGAATCGGCGATCGTTTCCGCCTGTGAGTTCACATCTTCCTCTTCTTCCGACGCCATCGGGAGGGCCAGCGTTACGGCCAGAGACGCCAACATTAGTGCCAAAACAACCTTCATTTTGTATTTTTTTATTTTATTAATTTTTTAATTAAATTATTAATTAAAAGTCACAACTCTTACAAAATGAACGCACATTTTAGTTAACATAAAGATTGTGTAAAATTCTTTAGTCGTATCGACACTTACAGTATATTGTATTCATTATATTACTGTATATTCAAACTAAGGAGAGGTATGACCAGGATCAACATTTTAACATTTAATTTATATTTAAATTATAACATTATTCTTACAATAGTTTAACATAGGTCCTGGATAAACAATTATTTAACTAAAACAATATTATTTATAAATTATAATATAAATAAACGAACATGAATAATCTCACCTGGACACATCCATTAGAATTAGTGCTTAATTCATATTTAAACACAACAATTGTTTATTTAAATTTGAATTAAATTAAATACATAGAAATTGAATAACAATTATAGCAATAATTATTAAACTCCGACAAAAGCCATAATGCTTTATTAGGGTGCAGAAGCTGCCTATGACATCGATATCTCGACCTCATCACCATCATCATTTATTTTACCGGATTTGCCTCCTTTTCCCTTTCCCTATTGAAAAGCATTACAAACAAAAAACACAAAATAAAATATGAAAACAAATGATTAATTCAAAAAAGTAAAATAAAAACGCATGTAACACACTTTTTTGGGTGGGCCTTTAGCGTGAGCATTAGCTCTGGGCTTAGATCCGGCTTTATGGGGGTGTTTGCCGTCGTCTGTTTGGGGTAACAAAAAGCCGCCGTACGGGTCGGCACCGCCGGCCGCCTTTAGATCCTTGTGGGCGTGACTCTCGCCGTCTTTCATGGCCTTCTCGTACTGCTGGTCGCGTTTTTGTTTCTCGGCCTGCTTTT